TAATTCCAAAATCTGTGTTATATCTGAGTCTTATGCTGATGCTTTCTTTGTTTTTTCAGACTGTGCTTTTTTTCTTACCTTTAAGCATGCCTAATTTTTTTTGTTGTTGAAAGTTAAATATGATGTATCATATTAGAAGAATTGAAGTAAATAGTGTGTGTGAGGTGGTATGATACTCTGTCTAGGAGTTGGTAACTGTGTTTATTGTTTTCTATGTCTGTAGATACCAAAGGCTTCAAATTCCTCTGGTGTCCTTCTTTTGGTCTCATTTGTTAACTTTCACTTCCCTAAGTGCTTCTCTTCAAAGATTTGAATCTTACACAAATTTCAGCTGTAATTCACAGCTATATTGGAGCCCTGTTGGTATAATGGTAAATTATGAAAAAGAGAAAGTCTTTTACAATATTATGATAAAATCTCAGTGCTTTGTTCCTGGGTCTTAACTTTCACAAGTTTGTCTCAGCTTCTCTTGACCCTTTAAGTAAGATAGAAGGGCTACAGAGAGCTGGAATAAGAGAAATGACCTTCCCTCAGATGCAATAAATTTCCAGTAAAGTCTTTTCCCTGAAGAGTAGGTTTTGGTAGGAGAATGCTCTGGGCATATTTTACAATGGTTACTCTTCTTCCCCAGCCACAGATAGGAGGAAATTATTCTTGGATCTTTGCCATGAGAAGCCGATGGGTTTCCTGAAGGTAAAATCCACAAACATCTGGGAACCTCACAGGACTGTGATCCCAGGGGTTCTCACTGCCACGCTAGTTCACAATAAAACTCCAGCAATTCATTAAAATTACTATTTAAATGTTTCTACCAGTTTATGTCTCCCTAATTTATGTGTGCTCCAGGTGTAAGGGAATCTAGGCTATGATTTTTTGCGTTTGACTTTTTCCATATTTCAGGGTTGTTGCTTGCCTTGCAACCTTGGTACTCAGCCATGGGTTCAAAAAATGCCATTGATTTTTAGATATTTTAGTTTTTCCTTGTAGTAAAGATGGGAATAATGATTTATATGATCTTTATAAATTGTAGCTAAACTATAGTAGCTAAACCTACTATAAATTGTAGGTATGCTGTATATTGTATTTTAAGGTAGGTTTTTGGTAGATGCCTTTACAAATTACATCAGTTCTGAGTTAGATATGATTTTTAGCATAAGTATGGGTTAATCATTATCAAGGGCTTTTTTTAGCCATCAGTCGAAATAATTATATGATTTTTTTCCTTTAATTTTTTTATGATGGATAACCTTGATTTTTATGTTAATTATCTTTGAATTCTTGGTATGAGCTCTACATGATTATGATATATTTTGTTTAATGTTGGTTCAGTTGTCTAATATTTTATTTGAAATTTTTCCTTATGTTCATTAGTGAAATGGATCTATGACATTCTCTTTTTATATTGTTCTTACGTAATTTTAAAAGTAAGCCTATAATGATCGTGTAAAGTTCTTGGTTGATTTGAGGTTTTCTTAAATTTCTGGAAAAATTGTATAATTTGTTAAGTAATTATTCCTTGCAAGTTTGGTAAACTTATAACAAAATTATTCTGACTACAGAGCTACCCCTTTAATACTGTATGGTTTAATTATAAGTGAATTGGTCCAGCAACTATACCCCTAACACTCTCCTTCCTTGCACTCCTATGAACCATAGCTTCAGCAAGTACCTTGAAAAATCTCTTCATTGCTTCCAGAAGTCAGTTGGAGAATACCATGTAAATTTTGCACATTTATTCACAGTAGTAATATTCTGAATATATGAAGAAACATAGTGCCTGGTAAGGCTGATTTGTAAGAATTTCCAAAGTTATGTGCTTTTCTAATTTCCCAAAAGCCCATGTTGATTTTGTAAGACAACTATGGTAGACAAAATGAATTAGAAGGATCTTAAATGATATATGTAAGCTATTTTTATAGGTTCTTTCGTATATATTATCTAATTTAATCTTTGAAATAAATTTTTGTGGTAGGAGTTATTAGCCACATTTTCACATGTGGGAAAATTTAAGATTTAGAGAAATCAACAATTTTGCCATGATTACATACCCAGTAAATTATACAGCTTAGATTCAGAGTTAACTACTGTCAATCTAAAGTTGGTGTTCAATGCCCATGTTTTCTAAGCTAGCATATAAGGTATCATTAGGTAATTTACATTGACCCCATTTTTTAAATATCAAAACTCTGCTTTAAATATAAGATGACTGCATAGATTATTTACAAACATTTCTTAATAACTACAGAAGAAATAATTTTGAACTGTTTTGTGTTTATATAGAACAGCACTGTGTGATGTAATAGCCACTTAGGCCTCTTACTGGTTATGTGACTTGAGACAAGTTCCTTATTTTTATTGTTCTCAAAGGTAAAATAGGAATAATAATATGAATGTCTATCCATAGGCTTGTTGTGAAATTAAACCCCCATTAGTTTTAAATCATATGTTCAATTATTACTTTACCTGCCCAAAGCATGGATTAGTTGACCTTTCACTATCACAACTGCCAGTGGAAAACTCAGAATTTATTATTGCTAATTTAAGTTTTAAACTTTTCATGCATGCATTGAATGAAAGCTTAATGTGAAGTAATTTGTAACACTGCTATCTCATTAAGCAATTATTGGAGAGATAGAACTGGAACATCTTTACTCTTTAAAATACAATATAATAAAATAAATAGCAAAGACTTTAAGCATTTGTATTTATTCCTATTCTCTACATAACATACTTATTTGTATATTATACAAGTATAATGCATGTGGCATTTCTCTGCCACCTCTGTTAGCTAAACATAGCATACTGGTAAAAGGCAGTGGCTTCTGTTCATTCTTTTATACTACTACAGTCTTAAAAGTCAATACGTTATCGATATTTTAACAAGCGTGCTCATGAATTTTATTTTTAATAGACAATGAAGCAGTTTTGGCATAGGAGGCAGCGTTTTGTGTGTGAGGAACAAAGCATAGTAAAAAATAAATAGCATTGTAAAAGCTCGAAATATTTGTTTTAAACATATGGTAGACTAATCACATTTAGACACAACCTTATCTTCTGCAAGATTAAACATCAGTGAAATGTGATATAGTAATGTAAGAGCTTGACACTAAAGATCAGATTTCCATTTTTAAAAAAAGAATCTGGGAATTTCAGAAGTCTTTGTATAAATTTGTCTTTTATCAAAATAGTGTTTAGATTATGGTATCCTAAAAAATGGTATGAAGAATTTGAAAATTTCAGACTATATAACTTCTAGTAGTATTTTTCCAGGGCTTTCTCTTAAAGAGAAGCATTTTTTTCTCTTCTATGATAGTATATTTTGATTGGCTCTCTGACTTTCCATTATGATTAGGTATATATTAAACTATCCCTTTAGTTTCTGCGTGTCCTATTATAATCTTATTGGCCAGGATCTATTCTAAGGTGATTATTATAAAATGCTAGTCTTCATTTTAGTTTCCACATGCATGATAATCCTTCAGTATATTGTTTGAAATACTTAAATTTGTGGTATTTAGCAACATAGAAGCCTCTGTAAACAATTCATATTTTCTTTAACAATAAATATCTTCATGATAGAACTTAAATGCAAAGCAGTGATTATGCTGGTGAGATGGTGCTACACCTTTATCAAATGTACTTATCTTAAGTGGTATTTGTTTGGGTTTAAAAGCTGTCAGGTCACACACTTAAGCCCTTTGTTTTGTTTGTGTGAAGATAAAACTCTTACCAGCATCTGACCTAACATATCCAGTATAGACTCTTCAATATCAACCATTTAATTGAAACATGGCAGCAGCTCAGATTTTCAGGATATGGTCATTTTTACAGTTTACTAAAATTCAAGACTGGATTTATATGTATATTCCTCTTTCTTTCCAGCTCTTCTTTAATAGAAAATATGTAATGTTGGGTCCAAACCGTGGTACAAGACACAGTTTGTAGTTAAAATTAACCTTTACTTAAATATTTCATTTTTCATGTATAAAAACCCATAACGTGAAACACAGTCAAACAAAACAAAACTCAAAAATCAGTTTTGAGCAGTGAATCACAGAAAGCAGAAAAAAGCACCTCTTACATCATTTTGTTATGATTTTTGTTTCATGATATTGGTCATATGACTACCAGTGTATTCTAAGTAATGCTTTTAAATGTTGTGAAATTCAGTGCAGGTCTACAAATGAAACCAAATCAAGTACCACATTTGTCTAAACTAATAAATGAGCTTTTCATATAAAACTTTGTTCCCACTTTTCACAGATAACTTCTGAAAAGTGATTACATTTTTAAATCTCCCTTAAACTATAATTCACTTGTGTCACTTCTATACATTTAGTCTTGTTCTGACAATGCCTGTACAAATGTCAAAGCATTTGCTATATTAGAAAGATATGAAAGTATTCCCATAAAACATATAAGGGTTATTTAGAATAAGGTTAAATATGAGGATAATTGAAAGCATTATATACTTATATAATGTATATATAGTACTTATTATAAATAATAAGTACTCTATATGTCAATATTCTATTTTAAATATTTTTGAAAAATGATTGTTTTACAATTGAAATTTGAGAGAATATCTACATAATTCCTCCACAAGAAAGCGCTGATTGGTTATAATCATAACCAAAAGATTTTTAAAAGATTACCAAGAGAATTTAGAAATAGAGTATATGAGTTCTTATAAAGTCTTCAAAATAATCCTTAAAATTTAATACCTTCAGTAATTTAATAAAAAAATCAATATAGAGCTCTTCTAGACATTCTTTATAGAAAATAGAGTTCAGAGTCAAAGAGAAACTCTTCCTGTGATCAGGAAAATGGATTGAGTCTTCAACCACAAGGTCACATTACAAATAAATTATAAAATATATCATATTGCTTTATTTCACTTTTTTTGAAATTGCATTATATAAAACTACACAGCAGAACATCATTTACTCTGCAGTTGTGAAGCTATATAAACACTTGACAAGCTTAAATATTATATTCAAATTATGGAGCATATTTTCAAGGCATTGTAGGAAGCATTATAAAATGTCTGTTCTTTGTTGATTGGTATAGATGCCAAATGGATACATAGATATATACTGTTTCTAATGCTTGAGTAACCGTTCTCAATCATCCAGCTTCTATCCATTTTAAAAACTCCAACTGTGTGTGTGTGAGAGAGAGAACTTACAGAAGGATTTTGTATTTTTTGTGTTATTACAAAACACATAGGATAAATAGCTTTTCATAAAATATAAAGTTAAATACTATGAGATATATTTTTAATTGTGAACAGTTGTAAACAATGGATATAAAGAGAGTATACCCTAGAATGAAGAGATTCTATGCATCTACCGAAATTAAATATAGCACTATAGCCCCCTAGTAGTCCTTGGGGTGTTGCATGTTATTATTGCACATCAGAAATTAAGAAAATTGGTAGCAAAGAAAGTAGAAACATAAGTCAGGTCAACTGGCTGATGAAATAAGGGGCTGATCTGTCTTTTCACAATTGTCACAACTCTCAAGAACTGTGAAATAAATCACAATGCTTTATGCCCAGTGTGAATACATGTGTAAGTCAATCCATCACCAAGATAGTTTCAAGACAAATTAACGTCATACTAAAAGCAGTCAGGTACCACACAATTGATTTGTTGTTTTAAAATTTATTATGTGCATGAAATATGCATATTTTTCTAATCACAATGCTTAAATGTAGCAATCTTTTCTCAGAATATTAGTCAACTTGAGAAATTTTTATTAAATAAAATCGCTGACCTTATTGGGAAATCAAGAGCCACAAAAGAAATTATACTATTGCATTCAATATTACCAAAATTTGTAATTTCAAGGGTAATTTTTTATTTATTATCTTTCTCACTGAATTTTTAGAGTTTTAGAGATGAATAATAGAAAACAGTGTTGAAATGTTAATAATCTTAGGCCTATATATCTAAGAATACATCATATAGGGTATTTTTTCCCCTAAAAATAGGATCTACTTAATCTTCAAATTTTATTGAAGACAAGGTTTTGAAAGAGAGAAATCATAATATAATTACATCCTAATCATAAATTATTTTGGTGTTATGATTAACTATAAAATAAGATTTATTTAAAAATTTAGGATAAGTAAATTTGTATTTCCCATTCAATTTCAACTCCTTCTGAATATTTAAGCAAATTTTAAATCAGCTGTTATTTTTGTTCCTAGATAGAAATAGCTAAAATATTTTTATAAATATCTTGTTTTTTAAATGTGTATAAGGTAATATAAACATATCAATTTGATGATATCTATACCAATATCCTCAGAAATGAAAGAAAAAAAATAGGATAATCTGAGAACTAGATTATTTTTTATCCACTGGATGTTTTCCCTTCATTAGACACTTAATTGGTCCTCTGCTTTAGAAAATATAACATGAAATTATTTCTTAGTATTTTCCCAACTGCTTTCAAGAAAAAAATAATAGGATGTCAGTTTTTCTAGGAGGTAATTTTGAGATAGAAGGAGAGCTTTCCTCTCAGAATCCCATAATTATTGACCTAAACATCAATAATTATCCTAAAAATACTTCTGAATGAAAGTACTCTGATTTCCTAAAATAGATCATTGCTTGGATTTTCTTCCCTAGAAATATCAATGGAGTTTTAGGAGTAAAGAAGATGAATCACATGTTGATTTGATCACTGCCTCCTTAGGAGAGAGTCCACTCTGGAGGTAAGCATGCTCTAATTAGAAGGATAAAGGGTTATGGAATCCAATTTAATTAATCATACATGCTGTGTGTTTTCAGTAAATTACCTAACCTCTCTGCACTAATCTATGAAAGAATAAAACAATAAATACCTGACTAGGTTGTTGTGAGCTGAAACTGAGTACTACGAATGGGAGTTTTGTGTTGCGGAAAATTCATATGTTGAAGCCCTAACCCTAAATGTGGTAGTATTTAAAGATGGCCTATGGGAGGCAAGCAGGTTTGGATGAAGCCATGAGGGTGGAGCTCCCATGATGGGAATAGTGTCCCTGTGAGAAGAAACCAGAGTTCTTTCTCCACTATGCCAACTAGGATGTAGCCCCTGAGCAAGAACTGCTTCTGCCAGCACCTTGGTCTTGGACTTACCAGCCTCCGTAACTGTGAGAAACAAATGTATGTTGTTTAAGCCACTGGGTCTATGGTATTTTGTTATAGCAACCTGAGCTTACTAAAGCAATGAGGTAATGTTTGGAAAGAATAACAAAATGAAGAAGGCTCCTGTACTTGAATTTCATGTTCAAGAAGAATAAATATGCATGTTATATTAAATTGGAGAAGTTCATGAGGCTACAATTAAAATTCTCTAGAAATAACCATGATATCCCACAGTCTGGATTACTTATTAAAATGGAATAAATCCACTGTATATTAGTTAAGGATTTTTATTGTGCCTTAATTTTTGTGGTAAATTCTCCAGGTCGTAAACAGGGTAGACTGCCCTCATTTTTTTCCATAGCTAATATAACTACAGGGTAATATATTTTAACTTTTTGCTTTTGAGGTGCATTCCTTGGAAATATAACTGGGTTCTTAGCAAGATCAAATATGTTGTAAATAAATAAATTCTGGATATGTTTGTAGTTCTTACCTTTGCTGGAACAAGTTGGGACAGAACAAGATTTGAAAAACAAAATTTTGGCAGTGGTGATGTATATTATTAGTGGAGCAGGCTTCTTTGGTTGGTTGATTAGTTAGTTGGCTGTTTTCTTTTACACTACAGTGCAATTCAGCTTTTTTCAGTGACCAGTTTGGAATAAGATTTTATAAGAACCAAAACTGGTTTATATTTTCTGTCATCACTGCCATGTGATTAGATATAGCTCAGAGTTGGCATGACAAAGTTAGCACATGGGAAAAAACAAGAAATTTTTTAAAGGTTTAAATGCCAGGAGGAGTAAATTTCCAAAGAATATTATGTGTAATTGAAATACTTCTTATATAACATATATATATTTTGTGTGTGTGTATACATATATATACACACACACATACATATATATATATATATATATGCAAACACATAAAAGGACCTGATAAAAATGCTTAAATAGAATCAAGTCTTTGAATGCAATCAAAATCCTGATATACATGAAACAATGCTGAATTTAAGATGTATCAGTGAGGGAAAAGCTTCTGTCTAGGGGCCACGAGATTTAGTCACATGGATGACAATCATAGACACCACCTTTGCTTGTCCCCTTTTCTTTTCCACTTTCATTTATATTTGGTTGAATGGAGTCTTCGAAGCATTTTGGGGGGTATCCTACTTCTATAGTTGTTCAGAATGTAAAGTTCTGAAAGTGAAAAATTGTGACAAAATTGAGATTATAATTATGAGATTATAATTTTCAGATTATGACCAGTATTCCAAGTTACCCACTACTATGGATTACTATTTTTTGATAAAGAGAAAGAGATAATGACCAGTGTTGTGAAGAAATAGTATTCATCATTCAATAAATTGCTAAGTTATTAAGCAGCAATTAAGTTACTAAACTAATCAACTGACTAATAACAACTAAATTACTAAGAAAGTTCCTAGGAGGGCTAGTGAAATGTGATCATTTATCTCAGGGCTGTGGTCCCTAAATACATAATAATAAAAAAAATACTTTTGGGGGGAGGGTGAATGGATATTATTTCTATTAGACACACAAGACAAAACAAAATGTGAAATTTCCTTTGAATTCAACAAGAGCTAAATACTCAGAAAATAATGACAATGGGCTAGGCTTAAATCTTAGAAAATATAAGGAGCAAAACACAGGCCATGAACTCAGATTAATCATGAAAGTCTTTGCAAAGGTTTTAAGTTATGTAACTATGTGTATGCCTACAGTTATTTAATATTGATTATTGATTTTCTATAATATTTATATCTCATTCGATAGATAACAAAAATAACTTGAATAACATGTGGCTCTAGGTTCTTACCCTGAGCATATTGATACTGGTAGAGTCAAACCTTTAGTATTGCAGCAATAAATAGCTTCATAGTGTCATTTGGACAAAGACTAAGGTTCACCAAAGAAGTAAAATTAATTTGACAGATAATCCAGAGTTTCATTGTGGTTCTGTTGGCATATAAAAGTATTTGGAAAAAAATCACTGAGTTCGTAGAAATACAGTTTCATGTTCCAATAATTATAAAAATGGGAACAGTTTATTTCAGGTGGAAACAGCTTTTCTTCAAGGAATATCTCTTCCTACGAGTCCTTAAAACACATTTTAAATTCAGAAGAGACAATTTGCAGCAGAAATTTTACAGGGTCATTTAGGTTTAGCTACACATACACATGCACAGAAGAAAGAGGAAGGGAAATAAAAGACCACTGCTTCCATCAGAAAAACAAGCACTTTTTCCCCCTGTTGTCATGTCTTTGGATATGTACCGCCTTGGAGAAATGTATAAATCATTTTTATACATGGAACTGTCTTAGAAAACTAGAGATTTTAGTACAAAGAAATCAATTCACTGAAAGAATGCCCACATGCCATTGTTATGAGTTACTATATATACACAAGAGGAACTTACAAAGGACCCCCGTTTTACAGTTACTGATGTACATTAGCATAGTGGGCTGACACCTTCTCCAGGCCTGAGTTACACTTAGTATTACAAATAATATTATAACAATGCTGAAAATACTGATACAAAACAGCTTTAAGATGATATTTCCAAAAAATACCCTTCCTTTTAAAATCGAACAGTTTAATCCAGGTTTTCTTTTTGAATGATTCAGCTTTAAAAAAGATTTTTCAAGAAAATACTAGTGTTTAAAACATCTCTTAAAATGTCTATTAAATGACAGATTTTCTTAAATAGATTATTTTTTATAAAGTATAATTCAAAAGTCTATCTTCTAGGAAAACAAAACTATAAACTCCAAAAGTCCAAATCAAAAACATTATTTGTGATACATAGTCCTTCATATCCTGGGAAAAAATCCTTGATTATTTTATCATGCTTATTATTTACAGATTTAAAATACTCTAGCGACACACACCAAATTTCAGGACAAATCAAGCTAAATTCCACAATTAATATATTTTTCTATCATTTTAAAATATTGCCTAACCCCAAATTTATATCTGCATGAACATTATAGCTTCTGAAGTATGGTGGGAATTTTAGATAGCAGTCTCATTAAGTCAAGCAAATTGCAGTGTGTATTGTTCTCTTGGCAGAATTACAAACACACAAAGAAAGAAAACATTTGGCAAACGTTTCTCTTGATGCACATGTGTGTTCCTTTGGAAAACCAAAATTACAAGTATAACATATCCACTAGACTCCTTACTTTATCAGTTCTCATCAGAGTTTGAAAATTTATAAAAGTTCAATAGTTAAAGCTGTGAGGGTAGAAGAGGAATCGAATGACTTTCCCCCAAAGCATTAAGCTCAAATACATTTTTATAATAGGAGATGCATTTTGCACATAGCTTTAATTTAAGCAGGTGAGTTGGATGCCATGCTAAAACTGCTATCTCAATTTCCCTTTATTCATCTCATTTGTACACACAGATGGATCCTGTCTTTTAGAGAATGCAAGAAAAACAGATCATGCAGTAGGTATGACAGTTTTAATTTTCATGGACTATGCCTAATGTGGATATAGTTACCAGCTCTGATATTTGTATAAGAAAAACTGCAGCCTTGATTCCTACTAATCCTTTAAAAATTATTTATTTTTGTACTTATTGATACCGTTTGACACTGCTTTGTTACTAATTAAACCTGAAGAAATTATCAATAAATGGATAGATTTATTGATCTATCTCATGTGCACTTAAGTATATAACATATTAGGCCTTATTTGTCAAAGATAAATATTTGTGTTTTAAATATTCCTTTTAGAGGTTTATTTCTAAGATCAAATTGCCAAACTTCATATATATTTTAGATTTTATTCTAAATCAAGGAGATTGTATAGTCAGAGTATTGTATTCTGGCTACCAAAAAATTCACCTTCTGTTCCTCAGTTGATAAAGTCACAGATGTAGGTTGATATACATAAACTGAAATTGGATGTGCATTGAAAAATTAATGAGCATTTAAAAATATAAGGAGAGTAAAGTAAAAGAATATTTTTCTTATAAGTTTCCATCCCCTAAATTTTGAATAATATGCTCCTATTGCCATGACAGTTACTCAAAGAACATAGAACATAGGATGTCATTTTTAAGTGTCATTTGACAAACTTCAGCCAACTTTACCACATTACCATGTTATGTCATGATACTTCAACATCAACAGAAAAAACTGAAAGCAAAATTTTTCAAAGATCAGAGCTGTCATTCTCTATTTGCCTAGCAATTACTCTGTCTGAAATCCTTTGTGAACTGGTGTGAACTAAACTTTTAAAGGATAAAAGAAACAGCCTTTCCCCCCTTAATAGTAAGTATCACAAGATAAGCTTGAATGTATGTAATAGAGACAAACACATCTCTAGGTTACATACTAGCAAGCTTTAGTCTTCAAATAAGTACACCACCAAATATAAGACTTTAAAATTCCTCTTGTTTTCTTCTTCTATTGCTATGTAATTTAAAATTCTTTACACTTCCTTTATCTATTTATTCCTCAGATCTATTTTTACAGTAACACCATTAACAGAGTGAACAGATTGCTATTTGATATTACCTTCTGAAACCTCAATACATATCAGTAAGTGATAGAGATAAAAAATAAATTATGGACTATATAAACCAGCAAGATGGTCCCATTTATTACACACATATATAAAGTCTTCAAGGCAATTCAACCTAATTCAATTAACATGCTCGAACCCTGACTCTTAAGAAAAAATGTCCACAAGTCATTGCTTATGACTAAAAATAAAAAGTACATGACAATTTTAATATGAACTATGCACAAGAAACACTAACCATTTTTATCCTACCCAGAGACAGGAAAAGAGTGATTTAATTACCCATCCTGCTGACCTAGAGTCTGCAGCTCAGTAGTATGTAAATTGTGATGGAGAAAAACATTCTTCCTGCTGTACATGTGTAAAGAGATTGGCCCTCTTGGTGGCTGTCCAAACCTGCCTGTAAAGGTTGAATGCTGTCGGGCCACAGCAACTTGGTCCTTTGGTTTCTCTAAGAACATGGAAAGCCCTTCTGTCTTAGCTGTTGGCTTCAGAGAGCTCTGTCCAACAGTGGCACGTAAGTTTTGTGTAACCTCTGAAGTAAGGGTTTCATAAGTTCCTCTTGAATGTTTGATAACTTCTGCTAGTTCCTTGTCCTTCAAGAAATTACTTAAACATAGACTTGAGAGTTGACATGTTTTGTTTTTGTATGGGCTCGTCTGGTCAGCTGCCAAGTATCTAAAACGGTCCTCGGTGGGAATATGCATTGTTCTTCTGTCCCTTGTGCTGAGATTTTGGCTCACAATTCGATTTCGATATATAGCCTATGGTAAGACACAGAAAAGAAAAGAGGTCTTTAAAAAACACATTCATAGCATACATAGAGTAGAGTGGTTTTTATATAGTTGTGTGCAAACCCCTACATTTTCAACAAGGTTTTAAGAAACATCAATAAAAGCTTCCATGAGATTAAATTTTCCAGTGCAGTACTACTACACAGGAGTGGTTCAATGGTTAATTGACTCTAAAAGGCATTTTGATATTTATCTAAATTTCCTAAATTTGAATTCTATAGCTTTATTTGAAAATACAGATCATTTTCATAAGTAATAAATACCAATATATGAGGCCATTATTTTTTGTTGGTTTAATATGCTATATTTGCTTAAGTATATACCCAGAGAGTGAGTGGAATTATCAGTATTGTGATTTGTATCACCACAATGATAAATGAGGAATTTAAAGAATTACAAACATCCAGGTATATTCCAGGACCTTAAAAGAACAACAGAGCACTTGGATTAAATTTTCAGTACATGGTTCACTTTGATTTTTGGATATAATTTATAAATCAAAATCAGGTGCACAAGTACATGCTACCTTCTTATTCACAAGAACTTTATACTCTAGTGATAGAAACAAGACATAGCTCATTGAATCATGCTGTGAGGAAGCAAAGATTACAAGCTGGGACCAAAATTCCTGCTGAAGAGAGCACTGTGCTGGTGTGGGAAAATGCATCAAAGTAGAAACCAAGACTAGCTGGGTTCCTGTTCTAGTTGCAAAAAGTGAAGGATTTATGGTTGCTACAAAGAAGGAGGATAACAGTGAAGAGAAACAGATAAGGGAGAACAGAGAAGAGCTATATAGATAGCAGCAGATTGGTACAACACATGTTGAAGAAGCCAGTGAAAATTGCTGCTTACTTGAAACCTAAATGATGTATAGTTTTAAATACCCATCTTTTCCCTATTTCCTGGAAGACCACATCTCTAAGTGTAATTTCTCTCTAGAGTCCCAATTTGCTTATTCAGCTACCATCACTTTGTTGTTTGACAAATGTCATCACCAATTTGACATAAATTCAAACTGAAACAAAACAAAACTTGATTTTCAATTTTGAAACCCATTCTTTCACAAGTATTCACCTTCTTGGTAAATGGCATCACTGTCAGGTCAACATCTGAAAATTATCTTCTTTTCTCTTTTCTTCATACTGCTTAAAATCAGGTTCTTGCTATTATACTGCCAAAATGCAACCTCAAGTCATCCACTTCTCATACTATTTACTCTGTCCTCTTGACCCAACTGCCTGGTACATATTATCCTTTAAATAAATGTTTTCTGAATATATTTTATCTCTTTGAGATAATAATACATATTTATCGAGTATATATTATATTGCAAGCAATCTGCTAGTTCTCTTACATATTCAATTCTCACAAGAGTCCTTTGAGGTAGCTTCTCTTATCCCTGCCATACAAACTGGAAAATTGAAGCACAGGGAGGGTTTTTTACCCTACAACTGGTGTAAAAACAGGCAGTCTGCCCGATTAACCACAAGTTCCTTCTTCAATATTTCCAAGAGAATTTTTCTAAAATATACTATATTTTTCTAAAATAAATTACATGCAGAACAGTATTGTAATTTAAGTTGATGCTTCAAGATGATCATTGCTAAAATGAATCTCCCTGCTGTAAAACTAAGGTCTACTAATGGGATTCTATATCCAGTGATTTCCAATTGAAGTATATTGCTCAGGCCATTTCTTTTTTACTATCTTGATGTTTGCTGTGTCATCCTTATCCTTATTATTTTTTTTATTATGTGCTACTTGTAGCAGACTCCCTCCACAACCTTTAATTTGCCATTTTAACTTTTCCATAGATTTACAATAGAGACAGCCAGGCTGGTGACCTGGGGTACAAGGGAAGCACTGAAATACTTACAAGACATGCCTCAGGGACTTTCTTAGAAGTAAAAGGTATTTTAATAGGGATTGCATTGCATGTGTAAATCACTTTGGGTAGTATAGACATTTTAACGATGTTGATTCTGCTGATCCATGTAACATAATTTTTCACAGCTCTAGAAAAAGTAGTTCTGTTATTTTTATGGAACCAGAAAAGACCTCAAATAGTCAATGTAGCCTTCCATAATAACAAATTGGGAGGCATCACTTTACCAGCCTTCAAACTATACAAGGCTATAGTAACCAAAACATCATAGTATTGGCACAAGAACAGAGACATAGATCTGTGGATCAGAACAGAGAACCCATTTATGAAACCGTCCTCATATGACCATCTGACCTTTGACAAAGCAGACAAAAACATACACTGGGAAAAAGAATCACTATTCAATGACTGCTGCTGGGAAAATTGGATAGCCAGATGTAGAAGACTGAAAACAGGATCCGCACCTCTCACCTCTCACAAAAATCAATTTATCATGGATAACAGGTTTAAACCTAATGCATGAAACTATATGAATTCTAGAAGAAGATGTTGGAAAAACTCTTATAGATATCGGCCTAGTCAAAGAATTTATTAAGAAGACCCCAAAGCAATCACAGCAACAACAAAAATAAAGGGGACTTGATCAATTTAAAAAGCTTTTGCACAGCCAAGGACACAATCAATAGAGCAAACAACCTACAGATTGGGAGAAAATATTTGTATGCTATACATCTGATAAAGCGGTGATAATCAGAATTTACAAAGAACTCAAGCAAATCAGCAAGAAAAAAACAAACAGCCCCATTAAAAAGTGGGCAAAATACATCAACATAAATTTGCAAATGAAGACAGATTGATGACCAGCGAGCACATGGAAAAATGTTCAACATCTCTAATCATCAGGGAAATGCAAATCAAACCATAATGAGAGATCACGTAACTTCAGTGAGAATGGCTTTTGTCAAAAAGTCCCAAAACAACCGATGATGGTGTGGATGTGGAGAGAAAGGAACACTTATGTACTGTTGGTGGGACTGCCAACTAGTACAACGTCTATGGAAAAGTAGTATGGAGATACCTCAAAGAACTTAAAGTAGACCTACCATTTGATGCAGCAACCCCACTACTAGGTATTTACCCAAAGGGGGATAAAAAGACATTTTATAAAAAAGACAATTGCACTCAAATGTTTATAGCAGCAAAATTCACAATTGCAAAGATGTGGATACAACCCAAGTGCCCATCAACACATGAGTGAATTAATAAAATGTGGTCGATAATAAAATGTGGTCATGAAGGACTATTGAGCCATAAAAAATGGTGATCTAGTATCTTTTGTAACAACCTGGATAGAACCGGAGACCATTCTTCTAAGTGAAGTATAGCAAGAATAGAAAACAAACACCACATGTATTTAATGCTAAATTGCAACTAATTGATCAACACTTATGTGCATATAATGAAGTAAAAGTCAACAGAAAACAAGCAAGTTGGGGAGGTAGAGGGAATAGGTAAATTCACACCTAACGGGTACAATGCACACTATCTGGGTGAAGGGAAAACTTGTAACTTTGACTCCAGCTGTACAAAAGCAAATTATGTAACCAAAACGTGTGTACTCCTGTAAAATTCTGAAATAAGAATAAAAAAATAAATTTCAACAGCAAAAAAAGAAGTAAAAGGAGTAAACCATTTTGATTTATACTTTTCAACATTCAGGAACTTTTCTGGCTTCCTTTCTTCTTCTTGGTCCTTTTTTAACACTTTAGGTCTTGGACCTATTTGGAAATGTGAGCTTTTATTATCTCTCCATCTCTGTAACTTTACATAAGTTGTTTACTTAACTATTGAATCTGTTGCCAACCAATCCCCAAGTAAACCTGGTGTTTAATATCTGCAGCCAAATGTTCAACATATCATGGGTGCTGCTTATGAAATATTGTGGAAAAAAAATTGTTTTGGGACAGAAGAGACATTAGTAAATCCATAATGATAATATCAGTTGTAATGTTTCTTTTTCCTTTGTATTTCAGCAGATGGTGCTTAGGAATTTAGAGAAGGTGAGTAGAGACTTCATTTCCACTTCTTTAATATTAATATTACCTTTGTAGGTTTATTCATTATTTTCTTTTTATGATCATTAATGCTCCTGGGATATTACATTAAATTGAATATACAATTTTAATAAACAGATGTTGAAAAGGATCAAATAACTCAATCTCACGGGCAGCCTCAGCACTTCCCTAGTATAATATCTGGCACCAAGAAGGCACATGTGGATCTATGATTAAATGAAACAAAGTGAAGAATGTCACTTTCAATTTTTGAAGAAAAATACATATTCAAATAGCCTATACCTGGCATAGTTTGCTTTTGACATCTTAGAGGGTTTTTATAAGTTCATTGTGATGTTCACTATTAACTCCAGAGCTCATAGAGTACATGGGACATTGCATAGTGCAGAGGTTAATGACATGGATTTGGGGTCAGATATACAAGGATTTATTTCTTCATGTGACAGATATTTATTGATCACCACTGAGGGCAAGGTGCTGCATACATGATGGAAATAGTGCTGTTTATAAAAGTCCCAGATCCTACTTTTTTAGATAGCTTGAAGTTTAATGGGAGAATCAACCAGAATCAGTACTTTCTAGCTGAGTGACCATGACAAGTTATTTAACCTCCTAAGTCTCTAATTTTGTCATCTGTGAGAAATGTTTGATGAACCACTGTCTATAAAATGCCTAACATTATACCTGGAACATAGTTATCTTGATGACAACAATAATAATAATCACAATAGCAATATAAAGTGACCAACAGACCTTGAAATTACTTTGATAGATGCTTATTTCATTCTTTAGAACCTAAGTTACTTTGAACACTATCGTTACTTTAAAAAGGAAAGTCATTTTCTCCAGAAAATTCAAGCAAATTTATATTTATTGTTGTAGTTTCGCTCCCCAGAACACAGACTCTGAGACAGATATTCATTAAGTTTATTGGGGAATGTTCCAGGCCAACACCTACAGGGAACGAAGAAATCTGAGTCAGGTAGAGGTAGAAATTAAATATTATGCAATTAAACTGTCTCAAATGAGCACACAGGGAGGTCTGAATTTGGGATGGCTTTTCTATGATTCAGTCTAGTGGTAGGGAGTCTTATACCCTTGCATCATCTAGTCATTGAACATTGGCAGACACTGGGAAGAGCTGTAACCTTAGGCGAGGAGGCTGTTTTCTCCCCCCAGTTCCTGAGAGGGAAATGTTTGCAGAGTTTATTTGAGATCAGTTGCTCATATGTTCAGCAACTAGGAAGATGAAGGCTTTAGTCCTGAAAGTGCATGTGTTTGAGGTGGAGGGAGGGAGAAGTAGGAGGTATTATAATATTTAATAACTAAATATTATAATATATAATAACTAAATATTATAATATTTAATATTATATTAAATATAATATAATGTTAAATATAATATGTTAATTATCCTGTTTGCATGTTTAATACATTATGGGACAATTCGGCCTAATGGAGCCAACACTGAAACTTAAGCCAGATTCTAATCATTCAATTCCCTTCCAGCCCTAAGATTCTAAGTTTAGAACATATATCTTATCCTACGTGGTCTTGTACCATGGAACATCTTTAAAAAAAATAGGAAATATCCTCTTGATTGAAAAATCTTAAAATATATTTTGGCGTGGATATATATATCTGGATTTGGTTTCCTTGGCCCAAGGGAAAAATAAATAACTTGCTCATCATGATGTTAATTGGTGTTGGTTACTTCTGAAGCTCTTGGGGAATACAACCCTGAAGGGAATTTTCAGTGCACTTGCCTAGCCACACCTTTCTCAAAATCAGAATTATTTCTCCAAACTCATATAGTTGTGTTAATTTTTGGACAATTTAGTCGTTAAGCAGCTAGTTTATTACTTATCCATAAAGTTCCTAGTAGAGGATGAAAGGATGGAAAACATAGTGATTAATCAGTCAAGTGTGGGCACATTATAATAAAATCGGTTCTTTCTTTCCCTATAATTGTCTACTCTAATTTCTTCACGGGAGCATATAGCCTACATTTCATGGAATACAAGATGCCACTGATTTTTAAAACACATTATTATTTTACATATCAATAAAAAAGGAAAACAAGCAAACAAAACACATGATGCTAATTTAAAACAAATAAACAAACCACATTCTCTTATTTCAATCTGAGTGACACATTAATCAGTGATACCAGCCTCTACTTGCAGCTTATTTTGTCTTTAATTTCCTTGTGTGGTATTTGGTAGTCCTTTCACATTTATCTCAATAATTCAGTTTCATCTGAACATAGGTATATTCCCTCTTTAGACTTTATAAAGCATTTGGTTTTTACTTAAGAAAAGAGAATGGAATTGAAGGCAATCCAATTATAAATATGTTTCACTAATATTAAAATTACATCTTGATTCTTTTTTTCCTCAAATTTCTGTATGCAGAATAACTTTCATCATAAGACCAAAGCATAAATAAGCTTTGTGAAAATATTTCTAAATGGTAATTCAACACACACAGCACCAAAATTGCATATAACTCAACTAAAGAAAAGGCAGTATGAAACTATAAGAAAAGCCATGCTTGCTCAGACTATGTAAATTCCATTACAACTGCAATTTGGTCGAAAGCATTGATTATAAAGTGAATCCTGATTTTAGGAATTATATAATACTATGCTAAAAATTATCTTATAATTGGACAAAAATAGAAATACAATAACATGCCAATATACATAGACCAGTTTTCATTAAGGCTGGGTGACATGATGATAGAATTCATGGGGGAGGGGAAAATATTTCAACCACCAATTAATTGAGTGTTTAATGTTCTATCATTATTTTCTAAAATTTTTCTCTTTTTCTTTATAAAAAATAGTAGTAATTGACAAAACTGTTATCAGCCAAGAATTTACTTTGCTAATACTTTGCATAGATTAGAACTCAGCACATGATTATTTGCTTTGACTTTAAATGTCTTTTTTTGCAAATATTCTTTATTTTACAAAAATGGTTTATTTTTCAAAAGAATTATTTTAAAGGAATAGAGAAACTTGAAATAATTTCCAATAGATAGCTAAAATTTGTATTACATTTAGAAACAAACTAATGTTAAATAGTATCTAACAAAAATTTTAAAAACTAATAAAAATATTAACATAATTTGAATCAAATGAAAGAAGAGATAAATATTAAGTTATGTTAAAGTGAACCAGTATTATCATTGGTCAGAGTTCTTGTAGCAGAAGTTAGGTAGTAATTTTTGGGTGGATAATTCACACTGAGAAACATGCATTCTAAATAAGTTCATGGTTTCCTATTAAAGAGCTCTCTAAATTAACTAAGTAAAATAAGTAATGCAGAATCATGCATATTTTATTCTCTAGAAGAGATACTTTTATCCCTACCCATTACCATACCAGGCAAGGGTAACTAGATCATAAGTTTCACAGGGGCAGGGGCTTTGCCTGTCTTGTTCAATGCTGAATTCACAGCTCTTACCAGTGCCTGGCATTACTCCATCAATATTTACCCGGTCCAGAAAAGAATTACCATGATTCCTTTCCTTACTGAAATGGCTTATCTAATATGGAATGTTCTTTCCATTGATAGCTTTCTCTCATTGATGGATTGATTAATTTGATCTATATAGGTTGATATGTAACCTGGGTCTTAAACTACCAAGCACTGGACATATGTATTTTGCTTCATTTTTGAAAGCAGTTGAGAGTGCCTTTTTGCAAGGGATGTGTCAATGTTTCAGAGATGTTTTGTAACCCCTACTCCCCTTTAGTTGTACCTTCCCCAATAAGGAAACAAGATATATGATGTAACTACAACAAATACCCAGAGGAAATAACAAACCTTTCCGAACCACCAAAGCAATATGATATTATATCTATCTGTAGCATTGCATATCAAAGCAAGTGAAAACAAATCTCTTTAAGTACATTTTGTAAATATTGTAGAAAATTAATGAAAGGGTGATATTGTAGAAAAACAGTTCTTAATCTCTTTTTACTCATTGTGTAAACATAAAAGATAGATATGGCCAAAAACCAGGGCTATGAAAATACTCCCATTAAAATATATTTAATTCAACTTCTTTAAGTTCCACTTATATAAAGGTTTTGGATTCTGAAATGAAAATGAGAATGCACAGAATATTCTCTAATTTATTAAAATATAAGTTTTTGTTCTTTAGTAGTAATAGCAAGATATTATTTAGAATAAAATCTCAACAATTGACTGTGATCCATTTGACACTGGTCTAGTAGATGGAGATTGATTGAATAGGTCATTTCTTTAGTTCAGAAAATAAATGATGAAGGCCTAAGTTGAGGCAGCACAATAAATGAATGACAAACTCTATAATACATATATTAATTGAATTTATCACAAATGCATTGATATAAAAACCTAACAGCAGAATAATAGAAAATTGCAATATTATAATGTCAGATCTATTTACCATTAAATATGATTACTATATAAAAAATGTTTTGAAGGCATGATTTTCTGAATAAAATATTTCAGTCTATAAATAAATCTTAAATTTAAATAAGCATTTTCATCTTCTGTACTGAATGTTGAAGTATTCATTAATAATTGCCTTGTTTTAGGGGGCTGTCCTGTTCACTGCTGGATGTTTAGCAGCATCCTTGGCCTGTGCTTATAGATACCAGCTGAATGTACACTGAGTGTGACAATCAAAAATGTCTCCAGACATTGCCAAATATCCCTGGGGGCAGGAGAGATGATGCCAAAATTGGCCCCAGTTGAGAACCACTATCTTAAACTAACATGCTTCCCTAAATTAGACAGATAAAAGTGACCACTGTAGTACATCTCAAGAAAGAAAAGCCATTATACACAAATTGCTATACTTTTATCATTTGCAGTCATTATGAGAGCAAAAGTAAGCCTTTATAATTTTTATTTGATTTATTTTACAAATACCTATAATTCTGTGAGGCATTCTTCTGGGCCTTTACAATTATTAAATTTTAAAAATAT